GCCTTTTAATTCACCCCTACTAAACAGCAGGTGGTATTTGCACCTCCTCTCTACAGCAAGATGGCCCTCATTACCTGACGGGGGGCAACCTAGCCAGGTACCTCAACGATTTAATTCTTTAAGAAAAGCAGCAGATCTCACAATAATACTGTTCTTCTTTTTTTTCTTAGGTATACGAACAGTCAGCTACAGGCTTACTCTTCTCAGACACAGCATACTAATTTTAAGGTATTTTAGAACAGATGCATGATCTTTGCCATTCTTGTGTAAACGTTTTTTAAATCATCACAAGTAACATATAAATCCTGTTTCTGTCCTTAAATAGCAAGCCAACAATTTTCTGTGCAAAACACATAGTAGTAATAACTTCTCTTCAAATTTAAGCATTTGCCTTTGTCCAAAATACCTTTTTTTTTTTCTTTCAGTTTTACTCACCAACAGGACAAACTATTATGCTAAAAGGAGAAATCTTTCTTAATCATCTGGCATTCCTCTCCAGCAGGTTTCTCACTCTTTAAATTCATGTTGGCAAAATTCTGTAGTGCAGAACCTGGAGAAGCAGATGCTGCAGTAGCTGTGCAAGGGTGCTAATGACAAACACAACCTACAAAGCAAGTCAAACTTGGTAAAATCTGGAGTGTCCTGCACTGTGGGACATGCAAGTCAGAATCAACACGTAACAGATCGAGGAGACTTTGTGAGGGAAGGAAGGAAAAGTAACCATAAGCCCTCCACAACTATCCAGAAAAGAATGCTTCTGTCAGTTTAGCAGAATTTTTGTAGAACACGCAGTATTTCGAATAAAATACTTGGGTCCAGGAAATCAACATTTTCTGACAGAAGCTTTTTGTTTTGCTACGTTAGTAACTCCTGGTTCCACAAGAGTAGGCAATTTTAAAGCTCCAGTATACAGAGGTAAACTCCCAGCCCTACACCAAATGCCGTAACAGCAAAACAGTAAATAATAAAACCCCTGAATACTTAGTTATCAGCTTTATAGATACCCACGATGAGACATCTCTTTTGTGAATGGAATGATCAAAATGGTCAAAGTAATGAAGAAAAAGAAAATCCTAAAGCTTTCCCTCATGCCGTACTACTATCGTTTTTTTTCATCATCTGTACAATTTGAACCAAGAATGCAATAAGGAGATAATGTTCCTCTTTTTTGAGGCCATTTTAGCAAAGCTTTTCTCTATCACACTAGATCAATATCCCATTGATACATATTTTGCCAGACCAGCTGCATTGTCATGCTCTTCTGTTGCTCAGTAATATGAACTGATTTAGTGCATGTAGCTGAAAGCTTCTGCGACATGTTGAATGATTTATAAAACGCACGGACCATTGTTCTAATAAGACAAAAAATTGCATAGTCCCTGGACAATGCAGTAACATGAAGTTCCAATGATTTATGCAGTTTTTTGGTTAGCGAATCATACTGAAACAGAAGCAATTTAGCATGAAAATAGTACCACAGATGTATGGACAATGTTTCCTTATGTGTAACTTTCCTCAGCACACAGACTTCAATGGTGCTTGCACACAAAAACCCCTCTATATTTAGGCAGTTTGGCTTATTTAATTGTTGATGGCTTATTACCCACGCTCTAATCTTAGTTTCCCATGTTCTCCGCATAGTAAATCATCAAAATTCTCATTCTCCATCTTTTCCTCTGGAGCCCTCAAAGATGATCAGCATACAGTCACTCTGCTGCCCTAACCACACCCATTCAGCCAGCAACCACAGTCTTTATTGGCAATGTTGCCCACCTTTTCTTATGAATTTGGCAATACAATGTTTGAAATGAAGCCTTCCAGCTAGGGGGGGTTGGGGATGGAAATCTGTTTCAGGGTTTTGTTAGTATTCCCCTCACAGGATTACAGAAAACCTCATTTTTAACATTTGGTCATCCTCATGAGCTCTATCAGGAGCTTCAGTCACAATTGAGAAATCCAAGAAAAAATATGAAAATTGCTCCTGAGAGCAATCCACTAGAAATGCTCTGTCCAGGACTACGATCATATGTGCACTTTACCCTGCCCTCCTCCAGATTTCTGAAATGTCAATAGACCCAGAAAGCCAGAGCCTCACCATTATCTGAATGGCATCAGAAGGCATTTAAAAATACAAGAACGAGAAGAACGGGACACAAAGAAGAACCGCACAAGCAAATGGACAGGGTGACTCAAGGGCAGCCCCTGCACAAAGTTCCATTCTGAAGCATTAGAGTCTGCCAGAGTAACCCCATCAACTCCAGCCTCCTAATCTTCACTTTAAACGTTGGATTTTTCTCCTAGCCCTCACTTTTCAAAAATCAGAATTAAAAAAAAAAGTAGAGAAAATCCTCCCACGTTTTTGCATGAAACATGGCCCAAGGAATATGGCCTGTCTGCAGAGATCATCTCAAGGCCAGTAAGATCAAATAGAGGCTTCACTTCATTTCTAATGTTTTTCCCCCTGTCCTCAATAAACTTCTTAAATAAAAAAAACAAAAAAAAAACAAAACAAAAAAAAAAAAAAACAAAACATGAAACTCGGATGAAACGTCACAGAATAGGAAAGGGACAGACAAAATGCCTGCTTAGAAAACCTTACACATTGAGTAAACAGACTATTGACTGAAAAGACCAAACAGAACTGCTTTCTAAGAAATACACAGTAACTGATGGAAAGAAGCTACCATCATTCAGCCCTTGTAGTTAGCTAGTCCTTTAGTTATAAGATATCTGTTCAGTTCAAAAGTATTTGGTTTCCATGACACTACTGGTTTATTCAGTCGTCAAAGTGCTATACTCCAAGCAGGATGCTTCCTGTGAATAAACTAGTAAGTGTATCAACTAAAAAAAAATAAAAAACATTGCATGGAGATTACCTAGAACAAGGGTTTTCAAAATTTTTAAGCATATATCAAGATGATAAATTCTCTCATGCACATATAAAAAATACAAAGGCTTTTAATACAGATCATACTTCATTAAAAATGAAACACAGTCCCACATGGCTTGGAGGAAACATCCAGTATGCATTATAATATATCTTGCAGAATATTGTTGCTTGTTCCAAGCACACAACTGTACCTTAGACCCAGTCTTCTTACTTGATAGAATTTCTTTAACTTTTAATAAAAGTATAGCAATAGACTTTTTTCCATATAACAGCTCAGACTCCAAATTGTATTTAGCCAAAGACCAGAAACTACAGACTTGACTACAATAGCCAATGATACATGAAATTCAAGCTTTTACTTAAATATGTTTGTATGTTTAAATTATCCATATTTAAAGACATTTTTATAAAGAAATTTTAATATTGTCTAGCCTTCAAAGTTCCACTATATTTTGCTGTAAGAGCAAAAGATTGTTACCATGAAAGCCAGATACTGTGATTGCTTATCTTGAATTTTCATGTATTAATTTTAATATCTTAAACTTCTATGTATGTATCTTTTCACATTTTTATGAAAAATGACCAAAAAAAACACAAAATTCATAAATTTTGTATTTCCTTGCAATTAACCCCAATGTAGCCATTTTCATTCGGCGTTGAAAGGCTAATTAAAATCATGTGAGTTCACCTTGCTGTAAAAGAAAACCAGTAACTTTTTGTGTACCCAAAGTTTCTGATTTTACTGCTATTACTGTATTATTGCTGTTCCAGCATGGAGTTGGAACACCTTAATCAGGGCTAGAGAATCAGCTGAATACTGCAGAAAATCTGCACACCAGCTCCAATGCTGCTAAACAATGCAGGCTTTGCACCTTCAAGGAGAAAACTGCAGCATTTGCAGGTCCTTGCCAGGAGAATAAAGGATATTAAGAAACACAGAATTGCAGGTATGCAGAAAGCAACATATATCAGTATCCTGATAAGGTCAGGATCAGGACAAATTTCCTTTCAGACCCAGTATCAGCAGAAAACTATAGTTAAAAATGCAACAATCTGTGCAGAGACACTGAATTTTCTATTTGCATTTATTTCAAAGCTAAGACAGGGGTAAATACTGTAACTCAGCAAGTCCAAAGTTTTGCTCATGTTTGGTCATCTTTCTAGAACATGGTGATTTAACAATCAATTTATATTTAATATCCAGTGGTTCCTTTGCACCCTCTAATAAGACTAAAATAAATAAGCAAACATCTAGTCATACGGTCAAAATACAGAATTTAAAAGCAGCAGTTTAAAGCTAGATTTTATATTCAATACTGTTGCTAAAAATAAGGCATAAATTAATTTGGTTGTGATAGTCTTCAGAGATTTAAAATATACATGCTAAATAAAGTATTATGGCTCTATTCAGAATTAAAGCTCTGGTTAAGGACACTCAACTAAAGCTCTGCTGAGCTTTGATACTTTCCAGCAGACGCAGAAATGAAATCACACCGTAAGGATTTTCTGGCAAGTATTAAACATCCATAATGTATATAGTGACCTATTTGTACTTTTAATTTGTTGTTACAACTTCCTCAGTTACAAGGTTTGGTACATGATCTAGTACAGCATATTCACAAATCAGAAGCAGTATGCTAAGATATGCAACAGAAACCAGGATGTTAGCAGGATGTTATGATACATGGAAATCCTCATGTTTGCTTCCAATGAGAATTGATTCTGTGGTAACGGAGATTTAAAACATAGCAGGGAGTTAAATATTTACTCCAGGGATGACCACTTCGGAAATCAACAGATGAGCAACCCATGTAACACTAAGATAACAACAGGTCATCTCCTGTGGCTAATACAAGTGTGAGCATACAAAAAACCTACTACATGATACTTAGGAGTCATCATTACACATCTTTGTGGTTTAAGAGTTTAGTGAGAAGTTAGAAAAAGGCAGTGTTTTGATTCTACCTTTTGTCCTTTATTTGTCATTCCACATAGCTGTTGAGGGTTTGGTTTTGGGGGGTTTTGCATTTTTTTTGTTGTTTTTTGTTGGGTTTTGTGTTGTTTTCTTTTTGTTTTTTTTATACACAGATGAATTGTTTTACTACCTAACTGTGCGGAAGAATACATCTTGCCTACAGGCAAAAATGGGATTTGAAAGTTTGACGTTTTTGAGTTATATTCAGTCACCATAGAGCTTTAAGTAACAGTCACAACCCTGTTGGTTTTCCTCCTACAAAGGAAAAAAAGAAGTATTTTTGGTTCAAAAAGAAGAATGAGTGGAGAACCAACCAAACAAGCCAGAAGCTGACACTGATTTAATAAGCACAAATTTTCACTGAAAGCAATTTCATTTGAGAAAATAAAAGTGATTCCCAAGAGCTTCTGAAGAAAATATTCTTAAGTATTTTACTGCATGCAATCATTCTTTACCCCATCTTTATTAGTTTTTGCATTTTGATTTGAAATATTTTAGAGACTGCAAAGATTTTTTTTTCCCTAATTAATAAGCATTTTTATGTAAACTAGCCATCTGAGTGACTGAAAGCAACAGCTGATCCTACACTGCATAGATAGTGTTAGTTCAAAGTAAGCTTTGTGGTGTACTTGCAAAGTACACAGGCAATCTACATGGATACAGCCAACAGCAGCTAACAAGCCTGAACCAGTCTTCATCTTCAGCCCCAAAAGTTATATAAATTCCTTTGTAAAATCATTATTGTGAGTTAAACTTTGTAAATCCAGAATTCAAGATCTGAAATGCATCAATTTGAGGTAAGACTGGAGAAGCTAGCCTCCAGAAGGCATGCCATGGGGAAAAAAAAACAATAAATTTAAATAGGCTGTAAAAAGAAGTTACAAAGAAAGTGGTAACGTTTCCATGGTGAAGAGCCTGAACTTCTGCTAAAAAAAGCATTAAACTGGACCTCAGAAAAAATCATTCCAATGGACAAAAGATCACCCAAATGTATTGCCTGGGAACATTATAAAATGTCCAGTAAGAGAGGTCTTTCAGACTAAGTCAGACAAACATCCATCAGAAGTCTGTCTGGCTTTGCATGACCATGAATGACATCCCCAGATCCTTCATGAGCCCACTTTTCTATGATTCTATAAGACATTAACCAAAGATAACAAAACACTAAAGAGAAGAAAATTCCTGTTAATGGTAATAACTGAAAATAAGACTAAAAAAGACCTAACAAATGTACATTGTAAAGACCATCTTTTTAATTTGAAGGGAAAAAAAAAAACAAAAAACAAATACACAAACCAAAACAAACAAAAAACCAAACCAAAACAAAAAAAAACAAACAACCAAACAAACAAAAAAAAAAAAATGAAGGGAGAGGAACCTGTAGAGAAATAGAAAAAGGCTTCATATTTTAAAATCATCTAACTGATTCCATCCTGCAAAGCAAGAACAAAATATTTAGCATAATTAAAAAAAAAAATGAAACCTCTTGAGCTTGCTTCTGTTTTCTGCAATTCAAAGTAAAAAATTTCTAAGATGAACTTACTCCAAGCCCCCACACCCTTAATATTACTACTAGTAATCTTTCCCTTTGCCTTCACGTTGGACAACTAATATAAAATTTCTGACTTTCACTGAATAAGGCAGCAAGAGATGACAGGCGATCATTTTAAGTCTAATTACACTAGCTGTTCTTTAAGTTGCTTCTTTATGCATGACATTAAGAACACAAAGAAAAGAGGGAAGAATGGATGGCTACATACACCCAAATAAGCACAAATCCCTTGTATCTGAGATTGACAAGACTTAGGAGAACAGTGAATTGAAAGAAGAGCATAAACAGTTGTAATACTTATACGTTTGTTTAATTATTCAGAAGATATTCTAACATAGCACACAACAGAAGATTCAAATCTCATTCAACTCTAGCATTCCTATTCAAATCAGTCTAGGACGTAATTACGCACATGTAAGAAAAGCTATGAACTTCTAGAATTGACCAGAATGCCTAGGAAGGCACTGAAAATATATAAATATACACATTATATATGTTATATGTATTTTAAATATATTAAAACACATAAATACATAAATACCACTTGAACCACGCTCTACCCTTATCTAATAGATAACTAATTGAAAAGTCCCCGAAGATGATCCCAATGCTTTTTTGCCTCTAAATTGGCTACTGTGTATTGAACTTGATTGAGTAATATCAAGATTTAAGTGGAGAAAAAATAATCCCCCCCCCAAAAAAAAACCACAAAAAAACAGAACAAAACCAAACAAAACAAAAAAAAAACCAAAACAACAACAAACAAAACCAAAACCAACCAATTAACTTTCTTTCCAATTTACAGGAATAGTATCCCTGTATAAACCTTCCAAAACTATAATCCTTTCAGATCTCACTTTTTCTAGTCATAACTCTGCATCTACATGACATTATAAACCTGTTGACTGATAATAGTCTCCATGATGTTCACCATAACAATCCGGACTGCAAAACAGGCAAATTTTCAGAAAACAATTTTCCGCTGTTTAACTTACTTTTTACATGGCCCTAGTCATTTATAGCAGAAAATTGCCCTTCAGAAATAACTCCAGAGATAACCTCTGACTTTCTCATTCCTTTGTTGATATACCCTTTCTATTTTAACGATACAATTAACAAGATATCATACCCATCTTAAGCAGCCTGGAGTTTGTCCTCAAATTTTTATGCTGATTCAAGCAGGAGTCAGGTTATTACTCCAGGCTTCTTACACTAGCCATCTTCAACAGCATAATTCTTGTAAAAAATGCAGTTTGCTGTCTAATGTAGTAGCTCCTAAGGCACAAATAAAGCCCAAAAGATCTTTCATTACAACCTTCTGGAGATATCTCTGAATAAACTTTATATAAATCTATTTCTTATAGAACCTGTTGGCAGGTTGCTTAAAGAGTTCATCTCTCTCTGCACTGGACTAACTGCAAGAAGCTTGTTTTAGATTTAAGCGATCCACACATTCCTAAACACTACACTAATGGATACAGCTTACCTGCCTGTCTTATCTTAGGTACTTCGGTTTCAATAACAGTACAGAATTCACATACCTCTTCCTATTCGAGGTACTAGGAAGGACTTTGAGTGATGAAGGAAACAGGAGGGTTGGTTTGTTTTTCTCATTTAGATTAACCTAGAGTACTAGTGGATTAAAGCTTTGATAGTTAGCATTTTGATAAACCTGGCATTCGTTTCTATTTAAATAACTCAATTGTCCAGAGTTTATTTCTTTTCCTATCAAGATTTTTCCAGCAGACCTTCTGGGAGAGTATCTGCAGATAGGATTAGATTGGAAATGCTATTGCTTTCAGTGTACTTAAGGATGAGAATTTAAATGAGATATTTCAGATGCCTGCATTATGCACTTCACAAATTCCTTCTTGCCTAAGGGAGGTAAGAACAACAACAACAGAAACCCTAACTCATTTCCAAGCTAATTTAAAAGCAGAGCTTGATGACAGAATATTTGCATATGCTAGCTTCAAAACAGATGCAATATATGCATTTGAAATTTCACCCATACTTTTTAAGGCTTTCTCTCCTACAAATACTTTGTGCATACTACAAAAGCTATCCAATCTTTTTTTCACTCACAGGCTTTGGAAAGCAAGAGAGAGGGGGTGGACACTAAATTCTTATCAATTGATGGAATATTCCTTTGCAGAGAAAGGCCTTCGGCATTTTTTATTTTTATGATTTGCAGAATATACCTTACATTTATCTTGTATTTCGTTTCAGACAGCATGTACTGAGTAATAGCTTTCTGTAGGCCACTTTATTTTACTTTAGAATTAGGAAACAGGAGGCAGTTTCTCCCATGAACAAATAAACTTTCTTCATGGAAGTTTGTATTTTATATAGCACAGATTTGAGTCATCTCTTCCAGTGGAGATGTGCTTTACAATCAAGATGCCTTGCTAACCTATTATGACAAGACATCTTCAAAAGATGTGTAGGCTCAGAAAAGGTGGTGATAAAAATTCAAGATTCCACCAGCTCTAAGTATTCCTCCTCGTAAAACAAGAGAATGCTAGGATAGCACTGCTTCCTGATCTCCTGTTTAGGTGCCAAATCAAGAAATCTAAGAATTATTAGCTACTTCAAGAAAAAGCTATCTCAGCTGCTGAGCTGGCAACTACCTTCCTTACTTCTCTCTACTGAAAATTCAGGTTTATAGCCAATCTCTTGCTTCAGCCAACTGAAAGGATCTTGCCAAATGGAAAGGAAGGTGAATTAGGTCCCTTTCTCTTCAGTTCACCAGAAAGAAATGAGTTTACTTAAAGCTTCCAGAAATATTTTAGTTTCAGTCACATTACTGGTTGTTCGAAGAAATTTTACTTATGTTTGCAAAATAACTGTGTATATACATAAATGAAAGAATTAGCGCTGTTTGATTTGACAGCTATTATCTGTGAATTACAAATATTTGGCTTAAAGAAAAACAAAACAAAGTAAAACAAACAAACAAAAAAAATAGGTAGGGGGATGCCCTAAACCTGTAAATATGTTGTCCCAATCTTTGTTAACTAAAAAAGTATTTACACTAGTCTTTTCTTACTCTATGAAAGAGAAATAAATTCCACAGTTTTTCAGTCCTCTATACTGACATGAGTTTAAAACATATTCATTCTCTTCAGCTTCAACATAGCTATGCAAATTCTCCTTTATTTCTTCTTCCTCAAACTCTTTCAAGAATATCAATTTGAATAAGCTTATCAAACAAAATGAAATTTACTATGAGTTTTATTTTTATGGATATTTTCTTCAATCAAATTAATCACAGATGAATTAAGTTAAATTAGTGTGTAATTTAAATACCTGAGCATAAATTTTATGTGTATGGTACTGTGGCTTTAAGCTTATTGCTCTGTCTGAAGTGCATCTTCATCATAACCCGAATGTTATGTTACACTCCTGCAGAATTGTAAATTTCCTGACTTCAAAAGACAGAAATGGAACCAGCAAATTATACTGTTTAGTAATCAAGGGTTTTCAAAGGGAAATCATTAGAAAATCTGGCCTGTTTAAGGTGCTCAGCAGAAACCTGAAATACCATGAAAACATGCACCACAGCACCTCAACAGAAAACTAAAATGATGACTAAATACAAAGCTTTATTTTATTCTTATTTCTTTTTACCATGAAATTCATTTATCCTTTATGGTAAAGGGTGAATTTTTGTAAACACATCCAGGGCAACATCCATTATGAT